AATTTATTCATTAAAACTTTTTCAAATCATTTATGTATTACTTTTTATTTCAGGATTATCAGAACAAATTGGAATACAACGACCGACTGGGATTTTTGTGTATAATACTCCTTTCATGAAATAAATAACAGCATTCAGAAAAAAAAATTATGTTGTTGTAGCTCTGTCTTAATTCCACTGTATAAGTTTTTTGTACAGGGCCAGCCTTTGCCTTAATTTTGCTCTTCAAAAGTGATATTACTTAAAATGAATTAAATTGATTTAGCCCGCACGAACATGAGCTATAGAAAGAACTAGTTACCACACTCCGTACCAATCTAATGATAATCAGCTCCTAACTAAACTTCCTGATCTGACTGTCACACTGCCAATCAATGACTACCTTTTATTTTGCAGATACAACCAGTTCACTTGAAAACCAAAACCATGCACGCGATATTTACGTTTCCAAAATATTTTAAGTGGACAAAATAGCGCCACAAAAGATAGTTATATAAGTTGAGTAAAATAAAACAAATGATAGAGAGAAGTATGCCGCAGAAATAGTGTTCTCACTACGAAAAGCATTGACTTATTTGACGTTGTGCATGATGACAGATATGTGAAATGCATTATCTGTAACTGTTAATTTGATTGGTTGGCTTAAACAGTTTTATCGAGAACCGAAAGGCGAATGTGAGTGTGTGGTGCTCAGACAAAAGATGATCTGAACATTAGACAGATTACTTTAGTTCTTCTCATACACTGTACTGCTACTAGCCAAGATCTAAGAAAATAGAGCAATGTATACTTAAAAAGTAGATGTTACTATTACTTTATACTTTTCCTATCCACGACATAATATACAATACATTTTACTTAATAGTTAGTGGTTTCGCCTTTGTAAAATATTAAATTTTCAGAACAATCCGAAAGATTTATTCGATTATTATAAAATAGTTTTTCAACGCAAATAATAGTTACCAGACTTAAAAAAATATCTAAAGTGTGCACTTTTGATTTTGTTTTACAATAACAAAGTTTAACGTGTTGATATGTCCCAATCATCATGTTCAGATAATATCATAATAACATAATCCAAAACACTCCTCGTAGAATCTAAATTATTCATTATCCTGCGATGATAAGATTACCTATACAAACTGATAACTCGGGAATATATTCATTTGTGATTGGAGACACCGATTTGGTATGAGATTATTTTAATTAGGAAATACCGAGTCCTTAAATATCTGTATTTTGGAAGGAGTAGGTCCCTCGACAGCAATTAAAGGAACGCACTTTGCTTTTATTTAGCTTAAATATCTGTATTTTGGAAGGAGTAGGTCCCTCGACAGCAATTAAAGGAACGTACTTTGCTTTTATTTAGCCTGTATAATAAGTAATAAAACCTACTATACACCGGCATAAGCGCGGTACCTCAGCATTAAACGTATTAAAATGAAGCAAAAGGACCTGAACACATATACCAAAATATAACAGTGAAGTAATGAGCAATTTTTGCAGCTGCCATGCAGCACTTAACACCTGCTGCCCTAAACCATATACTGTTGTTGATAGAATCATTATGACAGCTAAGGGACAAGGGAGAGAAATGCTCGTCGAAAAGACTCCTCCCGCCGCCCAAAGTTAAGCAGTCACACGTGGAAACCCAGCAGGGCAAATAGGAAAATACGAAACGTAACCAATTACCATTCTTTCTAACGAATCTTAAAGATAAAATACAAACAACAAAACAAGTATTTGATAAATTAAAAGGATTGAAACAGAAACTTTACATATATGGGGGTAAGGGCGGTGAAAAGGGTAGGTGTTTGGTTGCTAAGGACTCAATGGTAAAGTATATGCCTACCATTGACGACCTATTATAGAATAGGACTCAAACTACATATTAACAAGTTAATATACCATAACCTGCTGGATCCGCAAGTTTCTAGCCTATGTCACTAGAATAGCGCGAGGTCAGTCTACACATCCGTGCGGTCTGACCTCGAACCCCACTGTTGGTTGACTAATTCCTTTAATTTTTATCTTGATATTCCAGAAATTTGATTACGGATAGCTCCACAACTGGAATCTGTACAGGTTTTTTCTTCTAAGAAAATTCAACAATGTAAGGATTCAGAATGATTGTCATAACACAGAACTGAATTTTTCGATTTAATTAAATTAGAGACAAAGACGGCAAATTTTAAAGAGTCAAATACATTTCATGCTCCTACAAGTATTTGATTTATATGTGTTTTTTGGATGTTGCCTATTCGTGTATATTTTAATTGATTTTTTTGTACCTCAGTATATCGTTTATGCCACTTATAATTTGTATGATTATGGATCAGAAAACGTTTTGATTTCCCTACATCATTTAAACAGAGACCCTATAAAATAAATTTGCCTATTACCATCAATGATATGCAATATTTTTATTTAAAGCAAACACCAATATTCGGATAATTTATTGGTTTCTCCTGCTTTATTCTTCATATCTTTCCTTTAGTCCTGTATGGCTTGATATTGCCATTAAATGTTGCTCTCTCGTGTGTATAATTACCATCATACTATTTTTTCTTTTGCATCGGCACAAATAATATAATAATGCATGCACTAAATATCTTCTAATACTGAAGAAGTGATTTTTAGAGACAAACAATTTATATATTAAACATATATCAATTATAAGTAATTTAATTAAACACATAGAAGTGTCTTACTATATATGTATCAATGTTAATTTCTTAAAAATTGTCGAATTCATCGCACATTCATCGTCAAGAATCTTAATCAAATTTCTATTCACTCTGCAACTCTATGAACCAGAAATCGATGTATTTCTTTATTTGTATTTTTCATTCTTGCAGAAATATGAGATTTTGCATTAGACATACAATGTATTTATTCTCAATATTCAACATTATCATTAAAAGTAAATAATTTGTATTAACATATTTTATTGAGTAAAATATTTATTTAAAAAGCTACTCAAAACACGCACACAAACACGCTAATGCACACAAAGAGAAAAGATAAATCTGATAAAGTTTTGGAGAAGTTCCCGCCTTAAACTTTGCATATAGTAAAATGATTTTTTCGTTTAATATGTAATTGAAACTAGATTTATGTACCCTCAAAATATATTGTTTGTAACATAAGTATTCTTGTCTGTTATGCATACTAAAAGGGGAAAGAAATTCCAACACGTAACTTGATCTGTGCACGAAAAAATGACATAATTCATTAAAAATGTCATTAAAGCATTCGTCATAAAAATATTGTCATTATTAACAAAATTTAAAAAAAAAGTTTGTTTAGAATAAAGAATTTTTTTTTCAAACCTATACCTTATATACATTTTATACCTTTAAGAAATTTGTACAACATTGTTGTAAAACTAACCTTTTAAAATATGTGAATTTTACGAAATAATCAATTTGCTTAAATAGTGAAAATATTAAAACAGTTATTTATATTTTATTAACTACATTAGTAACAGAAATATTTGACAAATCTTTATTGATTACAACATTAAATTACGTTCTCAACTCTAGAATACTATTTGTGTACTGTATATATATAAAATTTGAACACATTTTGTCACCCAAATTCGTTCTTTTGTAAAAATTAAAGTGTTATTGCATTTGGTATATTTTCGGGCAAAACATTAGATCAACGAAAATAATATATCTATATATAACTGATTAAATTGAAACATCTAGGTTAACATTTATGTTTATTGACATTAGTTAATTATAAACCCACTGAGGTGATTACTGGTGCTGCCCCTGAATACACATTTTCTTCTGAATCAATGAATGTCATTTTTATAGTTTTGCTTTCAGTGCTGTCTGGTATGCTTCACTGTCTCATACTTGACGTCGCTCAAAAAGCAAGGACCAGGATCAAATGCCAAATGCCGGATTGGTCTAACAAAAACATTAGCTTAAGTAGTAAGGTTTGATATTCTTATCAACAGATAAATCAACAGTCATGAATTAAAAACAAAAAAAAATTAGTTAAATTAAATGGATTTTAATTCAAACTAAGAAATTAGTTGAAAAAAGATGAATTTAGTGTTTTTAAAGGAAAAAATAACATAAATATGCAATTAATTCACAAGGGTGTTATGATTCAATGCAATTTATTTTAAAAACATAATAAAGTTCTAAAATGTATAGTCAACCTACAAACATAATTATATTACTCTTATAAGATTTTTGATATATCTGTAAAGATCAACTGAAAGAGTGATATCCCGCAACAAAAGTACAAGAAAAGTGCAAAGTCAGTTTTATTGAGTCTGTTCATAGGGATAATGAAAAAGTGCAACATCCCTCACCAACCCCCTAGCTCCTGCTATTTCCAATGCTTCAAAGTGCTCGAATCAATGATCCCGAAGGACCAGAAAAATATAACAGAACTGAAGTGAAGGTTAAAGATTATTTAACTGTGAATCGGGATTTGATATGGTTTAGTAACTTACTTGTCTAAATTTCTATGTGAAATTCTCAATGATTCGAATTATCAAATTATGAAACATAATAAAGTTTGACGGTAAACGTGAAAATGATTCGGTTTAATTGAATCTGTTCATTGATGGCTAACGTTTACACACTGTAGCACCGGCTCTAGAAAAAATTACATTAAAGGATTAAAAAGGTGTTAACTACTAAAGTAATGAACGAAATGAACAATATTTACAGACATTTTACATATGTAAATATTCCCCGATAAAATTGATTTTATTTGTAAATTGTAAATATTTGTTTCGGTTATCTCTGTATCCGGCATATTAAAGAAATATACAAATTACAACAAAAAGAGAAAAAAAATCGACCGCAATAAATAATGTATAAAATGGCAATGAATAAGCATTTTTAAAACAAAGTAAATCACGACTATCGTGCACCACATAAACCATTTAAAAACTCAAATTTGTGTTTTTAAAACAAAATAATAAATCATAGAAACAAGACCAGAAAACATGAATTACCAGAACGTGCTGTTTGTAGGATTTTTGGGGGTGATCGGTTTGCTATATAAAGCCCGTTCATCAATAGTCGGTCGTCAGACTTTTCACCGTGTGTTCATCCGCCAGAATGAAGGTTTCAACAACTCTACTTGTAGCCTGTTTGGCTGTTCTGATAGTGCCAGCGGTATTTGGTGAGCTATTCTTTTTTGCTTTGTGTCCTTCTTAATCTTCACCTTATCATTATTATATCATTATCATTTAAGTATTATCATAATTATTCCAGGGAACATATTCCATACATAAAAAGAATGTACGTTTACTGTCATTTACTTGAATAGAATATATATTTAGTTTTCTTTGAGTTTTATATTTATTATCTTTAATTAGTTTAATTTATTCAATTTCTCAACTGTTCCTCTTTATTAACTGTTTAACTTGTCAATATTTTGTAAATATTTTCGGTTGTACCATTTGTCATAAAATAATATGTTCATTGTGATATTCCTGCCTTTTTATCAAAGGGGAAATAAAAACAAAATAGTGTATCTTTTATTTATGTACGTAGCATTGTTTTTTATTTTCCCGTTGATAAAAAGGAGTCCATCACAATAATTATTACTATGTAAGTGCACTTAAATGAATATAAGGTACTATGTACAGAATGAGATCATAGTTTAAAGCCTTAGAAGGTGCATGAATGACCTTAAATTATCATATTGATGGTTACGCTTTCATGCAAAGTAGAAAGTTTATATAAGAGGATTCCTCTGAAAACACGAAACACTTATAAAGGTTTTACCAATACTTGACGCTACGATGAATTATCTAGATAAAGCACAACAAGAAAATACTGTAACCATTACTTATTGTACTTTATTAAAGGTTTCCGTAAGAAATGCTTTAAGTGGCCTTGCTTTGGCGGTGGTTATGGGGGCGGATACGGCGGTGGCATGGGTGGCGGTTTTGGCGGTGGATACGGCATGGGATATGGCGGTGGCATGGGTGGCGGTTTTGGCGGTGGATACGGCATGGGATATGGCGGCGGATATGGAATGGGTTATGGCGGTGGCATGGGTGGTGGTTATGGCGGCGGATACGGCATGGGTTATGGCGGTGGCATGGGAGGCGGCTTTGGTGGTGGATACGGAGGAGGATATGGAATGGGTGGCTGGGGAGGTAGAAGATGTAGATGTAGACATCGATGCTGGTGGGGAGAAAGACCGAGTGGCAGGTGTCCTTGGTGTAAATCTTGGTGTAAAAAGAAAATCTGGTGTTGTAGAGGCAAGAAATACTAAAACGTTTCAAGTAAAGACTTTTTTTAGGGTAAGAAATTTGACTTCATCAAAGGAAAATGTTGTTGCCGTTGTATGAATTTTACTTAATGATTTCCTGAAATTACTGTCTCACTTGATAAAGATCCAGACTAATAATTTGTGTGCAAAATTTCAATCGTCCACTCCGTTTTTTACCAGAATAACCACTATTACCTAAAATAAATGACCCAAGCTGGAAACCGTAACAACGTTTTCTACTCAAATCGGGCAAAGAATATCACACAAATGCTATATTTTATTTATTTTTAGTATATTTCTTATTTATCTTTTGCACATCTTTCTGTTTTCAGTGTCCAAGCTGTTCTATGTAAGAAATTAAAATTTTGTGTTTTTATGCTTTTGTACTAGAGTGGAGTTCCTTTCAAATAAACCTTAACTTTTGTTATGCTTTATATATGGTTATGATCCTTTTAGGTGCTATTGACTCGAGTATATTTGCATATGAAATAACGTCGATCTTCTTAAAGTTAACAACAGTCTTATATTAATTTTTCAGGATTATCTAACAGACATGTACCGGTTATCGACTGTGAATTTTGAGAAAGATTTCTACAATATTATTTATTTATATTAAATAAATCAAGCATTATATTATTTGTTCGTTATCTTTGGTTAAAACTGCAGGCAAAATATAGGTAAAAGCATGGTTCATTGATAGTTAGCTTGTAAATTGTAACCAAGAAAGATTGGCGTAAGATATTGGCACGTACCTAAAAATAAGTATTATCAAATGAAAAGGTGAACGACCCAGTATTCATTTTAGGCTAGATTGTGAGTATTCTGGAACAAGGATGTACTTTCTTAAGCATTAATCACAACAAAATTACATGAAAATTGCAGACATGGTTTCATAGAGTCGCTACATGAGGGATAACAAAAGTGCAACATCCCTCTACCCCCCCCCCCCAGCATCGGTTTAACCGGTACTCAATTTTCAACACTTAAAAGTGCTTGAACCAATGATCGTTAAGGACAAGAAAAATATAACAACACTGAAACACACTTGAGTCTACATCCTACAATTGTAAGTTCAAAGACCATATGAGGAAGTTTTGACCTCAGTAAAGTTGGAACCCCGGGTGGCATGCAAGCATCTTAACCCCCTGGCCACCGCTTCCTTTTGAAATCTTGCAGTCGATCACAGGAAATAGTTAAAACAATTAAAGCAAAACCTTAGATACAAATGTTTCTAATGAGAAAAATAATTACGAAAAAGAAAAAGAAAATTCGCCGTTATAAATTGCAAGAGACTGACTCGTATTGTAAGTCTTCCAATTTACTTTTATTTTAATCCAGACTCTTAATGCTAATTAGCCTGCTACTTCTGTTTTGTGTGTGCGCGAGCATGTTTGCGTGTCCTAAGTTTGATAATGGTCGATCTGGCTGTGCGGACCCCGGACATTTCACCAGTCATACCCTTTAATACATGTGAATTAAATTGCCAAATGGGCACCTATTAATTTTGAATCCAGTTACTCACTAAATGTGACTAAAAATATGTGTTTATTTTTTCCTCCTATTGGATATACAGTATACATGACTAATGTGATGTAACTGAGGCCAATGAGACCTTTATATGCATTATTGTTGATGATGTTGCAAAAATAAAATAAAATAAAAAAATAATAAAAACAGTTTGCCGGACTGATGTATTAGTCGGTGGTCTTATGTTGACACTATATACGAGACACAATCTCACCTACTTCCCTATTGGTGTCATACGTTTGTTTACTGTAAAAGTTGCATTGTAATAACTTATTTTGATTAATGGTGTAACTTAAGTTTTTATTGTAAATCATGCACAATAAGCTTCTTAAATTGTATTGATTCAAACTGATGCAACAGAAATTAACATGTTAAACATAGAAATAAAAGTTGAATAAATAAATAAATATTTTATTAGATAAATAAATAAATATTTATTAAATAAACAAATAAATATTTTATTAAATAAATAAATAATGATAACAACAACAACAAAAGCAACAAGAAACCTTTTTAATATCAAATGATAACAAGCGATCAATATATAACTTATATATCATATAGTTTTTCAATCATTATAAATATATTAAACAGCAAAGAGTATGCTAATAGAATCTATATATTATGATATTCTATGGAAAACAAAATGCAATGTCTAGTGTTCATCGTTTTTTATGGTTTGCTTTAAGTCACAAGTTTGATAGAAGCTTTGGCAGTTATTACTTTATTTTTTTAAATTTATAATGATACACATATCAAAATCAATTTACATATCATGTTGAAATTTTGCAGGCGATTAAAGTAAAAAAAACAACAACAAAAACCACAGTTGATTCGTTTAGAAGAGCCTATATAAAGGGACATATCCCTGGGTTTAGAGCATGACCAGTTCACTTACCATACAGACGGGAAACATGGATAAACTTCTCATCTTTCTGTGCATAGTTGGCTGTCTAGCCACAGTCTTAGGTAAGTGTTTGTTTGTTTCAATATTCTTGATTTAAAGTATTGTTTTACGTTTATATGGCTCATAATATGTAAATCTGTAAAAATATTATACGGGGGCTGCGAAGCAGTGCAATATAGTACAAAGATGTGTATACGGATACAGCGCTTTCAGTAAAATTAAACAATTAAGTTACTTGAACAAAGCCATGGTTGGCGAAATTAAGATTTATAAATATAAGTTTTTCAATACGATAATAAATTTGTCAAACGTGTGCTTTAATGTAGATTTATTATCTGTACGCAACAAAGTGCAACAATAGTAAAATATTGGAAGAATGTACGCATTGTATGACCAAAAAAAAAATAAATTGGAAATGCCAGTTCAATGTATTTTCAATAAAGACTCCTAATATTTTCTGCACAATAACATTAATATTTGAGCCGCGACATGACAAAACCAACATAATGCCTTTACGACCAGGATGGCTCCAGACCAGCATTCGCATCCGCGCAGTCTGATAAGGATCCATGCTGTTCGCTGTCTCTACTTGTAGGGTTTGTAAGCGAACAGCATGGATCTTGATCAGACTGCGCGGATGCGCGGGCTGGTCAGGATCCATGCTGGTCGCAAACGCATTATCTTGGTTTTGTCATGGCATGACTCATTTGTATTGTTTCAGGAACTCCACAATATGGCATGCCGTATGACGATGATTATTCAGGTAATTCTGCTCCATTTATAACATTTCTAAAAGTTTCTAAATTATACGCGTTATAATAGTGTTTTTGATAATAATTCAATGTTGTCAAATCATTTTACAAAGGTTTATATTTTTATTATTATGTAACGAATCTTTCTACATTACAGATAAAGAAACATTTACATTAACTATAGTAAATTTTCTTTGAGATTTATTATAATGTTGTTTTGAAGGAGATGTGAATAACATAATATTATTTCTTGCCGGTAACCTGAACGCGTGATATTTAATTCATTTTTTAAAAATATTAATAGGCGGTGGGGGCGGAGCAATGATGCCAGGAATGATGCCCGGGATGGGTAGTGGTTACCCAATGCCGATAACGCTGCAGGAATTGGAATGGGAGGGGGCATGGATAGCATGTATGGGAGCGGGGGCGGGGGCGGTGGCGGTAGCGAGTACGGTGGTTATGGCTACTCGGGATATGGAGGGTTTGGTCGACCTAGGTACTGTAAATGCAGGAAACATTGTCGTCGCTATGAACGATATATGGGAAAATGCTGCAGAACAGCATGGAGATGTCGTATTAGGTGTTGTAGATATTAAGAGGTACATAAACACTATTATCATGATGTTCGAGCACTCTCAAGTCTATACAATTCAACCCTGACCACGCTTAATATCTTAAATAGAATTTTCCAACTGAACCAAACCATTCACCATTTTAGGAAAAAAATATAAATAAGTACTGGAAAAATATAAAATAAAAGTGCAGATGATAAGAAGGCAAAGAGATGTGCCGGGTGATCTTAGTATGTACCTGTTGCATGTGAAGCCATAGTTGTGGCTAGAAGGTTCAAAGTTTAAACATATCCTCAAAAAACAGATTACTTTTTACAATGATTGCAATCAATAACAATATCATCCTACAAGTTATATGAACGGACACCTGCAAATTTATCTTGTTTATGTATAATTTTTATTAAAATTCTATAAAATTTCACTTATTCATAATTGTCTCATAGCTTAATGAAATTCTTGACAGCAACTTGCAGTAGAAACCATAAGAGTTGTTATATACTATTTATTGTATGTCCATTACTTATGAAATGTTATTTTTTTAGTGTGTATTTTTTCGTTCAATTTCAGGGTATAACAACATCTGGAGTACATGACGTCCGAACAGCTTGAATTGTTTATTATTTATATATATTCTTATTGTTAACATTGCTTTATCGCATTAAAATACTGCAGTACAGTATGTGTTTTCTTACTTTCTAAACTATAAGTATTGTTTCTTAATAACAACAGCAATTTTATTAAACATAAAATATCTGATAGGTATTTAGAGCCAATAGATGTAAACTGGAACTCGGAATAGGTGGAGTTTCCAAATTTAGTTAAGGGGAGAAAACACTTAAATTAATTTACTGTTTTTTTTTTTCATACAGTACTGAAGAGCATAATTTCTGTTGCCGAATATATATGCTTGCAAGTACAATGTACTTACATTGTTACAAAAATATATCGACCTTATATTAGCATTTTTCATGTATTAAACTTCTCATAGTAAAAGCATATAAAAAGCACATAAACTGCAGTCACTTAATTACACTCTACATATATATTCTATAATAAACATTTTGCTCAGAAATAGCAAATCTTGCACCGTCTTAAAAGAGTCAAGAAACACCAATAGATGGTATATTATAAGGTTTACACCGGCTGCCGATACTGACAGGAATATCTAGCTCGTAGGTAAACTGTTTGAGGCGGTAACATACATACATGCAGTAATCTGATATTGAACAGTATATATACAGTTATTATACCATTAACATCAAACTACGTAAATTGTTTTCGTCATTATTTGCATAATTGATTCAACCAAATAAACCTTTTGCTTTCAATGTATGAAAAGGCAGTGTTAAAAGCCCCATGAAGTCGGTGACTTTTGACTTTCAACTTGTATATGTTCATTGTTCTAAAACTTTTATTGATGATTTGATAAAAAAGAATTAAGAAACCTCAGTATTGCAAGAAAATACTAAAATGCTTTGAACCTTGACCTGCTGCATGTGTGTAACACTGTCATCACCCAAATAGCGTTATTGCGTCAATCTAAACCGATATGTTTCGGAAAAGTCGCACAAGGAACCCCGAATCCGTTTAATAACAAAACTGCAAATTTTAGCTCAAACCGGCCTCCTCTTTTTGTGATTCCGGTACGTTTATGGAGCTTGTACCGCGTTCCTATATTGTTCTCACGGCGTTAATTATGTGCGACCTTACGGGGTTTGCAGTGCGTTCTTAGAGTTTGTACTACGACTCTTCCTCTATGCAGATTACATGTATATGCGGCGTCCTTATGGCGACAACAAGAGCGTCCAGGAAACGTCATAGTCATATCAGGAACTACCTGGTCGCATTGCAGACGCTTCAAAGTCGCCATAGAATAGCCAATTACAAGTCAAACAATTTTTGTGCGTTTATGCGACATCTACAGTACGTTTATAGTACGTGCATGAGATCTTCACGTGGTTACAACTGCGACTATGGGGTTAATGGGACATTCTGGACGCCATAAAATGACGGTCCTCAGCTTTTGTTTTGTACATATTAAAAATAGTCGCCGTAGCTCGGCGTCCTGTGGCAATAATGGCGTCCACATAGCGACTTGAGTAGTTCCCATCTCTTACCTATCGCGTCAGTGGCGTTTCTACTACGTCACGGGTCGCTTGCGTTAAAATTGGATCAGTACAAAACTTGAAATAAAGTACTATATATCAAAATACAAACAATGGGTAACCAACAGTTTAGAGACTGATAAGAAGTGCAGACTTGCCTTGCTGTATTCTATTGGTAAAAGCTTATATATTTCAATTCCAACAACGTAAGGGTTAAATAAAGCAAATGGATAATGCTGTTAGTATCTTATTTTATATTATAATTAATAAATATCATATTAATGTTTATGCTTCCATGCAAAATAGAAAGTTCATATAGAGGGTCCGTCCACTGAAAACTTGGAAACACTTATAAAGGTTTGACCCATACTTTATCCTACAATTGCCTCATCTAGATAAAGCACAATAAGAATACTTCATAGTAATTTATTAAAGGTTTCCGTAGGTTTTCCGTGGCCTTGCTTTGGTGGTGGTCACGGGGCGGATACGGAGGCGGTTACGACATGGGTTATGGTGGTGGATACGGCATGGGTTATGGAGGTAGCATGGGTGGCGGTTATGGCGGTGGATACGGCATGGGTTATGGCGGTGGATACAGTATGGGTTATTGCGGTGGTTGGGGCGGCGGTTATGGAATGGGTTTCGGCGGTGGCATGGGTGGTGGTTATGGCGGCGGATACGGCATGGGTTATGGCGGTGGCATGGGAGGCGGCTTTGGTGGTGGATACGGAGGAGGATATGGAATGGGTGGCTGGGGAGGCAGAAGATGCAGATGTAGACACCGATGCTGGTGAAATAATATGTTCATAGTGATATTCCTGCCTTTATATCAAAGGGGAAATAAAAACAAAATAGTGTATCTTTTATTTATGTACGTTGCTTTGTTTTTATTTTCCCTTTGATAAAAAGGAGTCCATCACAATAATTATTACTATGTAAGTGCACTTAAATGAATATAAGTTACTATGTACAGAATGAGATCATAGTTTAAAGCCTTAGAAGGTGCATGAATGACCTTTTATCATATTGATGGTTACGCTTTCATGCAAAGTAGAAAGTTAATATAAGAGGATTCGTCTGAAAACATGAAACACTTATAAAGGTTTTACCAATACTTGACCCTACGATGAATTATCTAGATAAAGCACAACAAGAAAATACTGTAATCATAACTTATTGTACTTTATTAAAGGTTTCCGTAAGAAATGCTTTAAGTGGCCTTGCTTTGGCGGTGGTTATGGGGGCGGATACGGCGGTGGCATGGGTGGCGGTTTTGGCGGTGGATACGGCATGGGATATGGCGGTGGCATGGGTGGCGGTTTTGGCGGTGGATACGGCATGGGATATGGCGGCGGATATGGAATGGGTTATGGCGGTGGCATGGGTGGTGGTTATGGCGGCGGATACGGAATGGGTTATGGCGGTGGCATGGGAGGCGGCTTTGGTGGTGGATACGGAGGAGGATATGGAATGGATGGCTGGGGAGGCAGAAGATGTAGATGTAGACACCGATGCTGGTGGGGAGAGAGTCCAAGTGGCAGGTGTCCTTGGTGTCAATCTTGCTGTAAATAGAAAATCTGGTGTTGTAGGGGCAAGAAATACTAAAACGTTTCAAGTAAAGACTTTTTTCAGGGTAAGAAATTAGACTTCATCAAAGGAAAATGTTGTTGCGTGGTATGAATTTTACTTAATAATTTCCCGAAATTAATGTCTCATTTGATGAAGATCCATTTCAATCGTCCACTCCGTTTTCTACCGGAATAATCACTTTTACTTAAAAAAATACCCAAGCTGAAAATCGTTACAACGTTTTCTACTTAAATCGGGCAAAGAATATCATACAAATACGATATTCAATTTATTTCTTAGTATATTTCTTTTGCACATCTTTCTGTTTTAAGTGTCCAAGCTGTTCTATGTAAGAAAATAAAATTTTGTGCTTTTATGCTTTTGCACTACAGTGGAGTTCCTTTCAAATAAACCTTAACTTTTGTTATGCTTTATATATGGTTATGATCCTTTTAAGTGCTATCAATGACTCGAGTATATTTGCATATGAAATAACGTCGATCTTCTTAAAGTTAACAACAGTCTTATATTTATTTTTCAGGATTATCTAACAGACATGTACCGGTTATCGACTGTGAATTTTGAGAAAGATTTCTACAATATTATTTATTTATATTAAATAAATCAAGCATTATATTATTTGTTCGTTATCTTTGGTTAAAACTGCAGGCAAAACATAGGTCAAAGCATGGTTCATTGATAGTTAGCTTGTAAATTGTAACCAAGAAAGATTGGCGTAAGATATTGGCACGTACCTAAAAATAAGTATTATCAAATGAAAAGGTGAACGACCCAGTATTCATTTTAGGCTAGATTGTGAGTATTCTGGAACAAGGGTGTACTTTCTTAAGCATTAATCACAACAAAATTACATGAAAATTGCAGACATGGTTTCATAGAGTCTGTACATGAGGGATAACGAAAAGTGCAACATACCTTAACCCCCCCTCCCGAGCACCGGCTTGACCGGTACTCAATTTTCAACACTTAAAAGTGCTTGAACCAGTGATCGTGAAGGACAAGAAAAATATAACAACACTGAAACACACTTGAGTCTGCTTCCAACAATTTGTAAGTTCAAAGATCATATGAGGAAGTTTTGACCTCAGTACAGTTGGAACCCCCGGGTGGCAGGCAAGCACCTTAACCCCCTGGCCACCGCTTCCTTTTGAAACCTTGCAGTCGATCACAGGAAATAGTTTAAACAATTAAAGCAAAACCTTGGATGCAATTGTTTCTAATGAGAAATATAATTTCGGAAAAGAAAAAGAAAATTCGCCGATATAAAATTGCAAGAGACTTATTGTAAGTATTCCAATTTACTTGTATTTTAATCCAGACGCTTAATGCTAATTAGCCTGATACTTCTGTTTTGTGTGTGTGCGAGCATGTTAGTGTGTTCTTAGTTTGATAATGGTCGATCTGGCAGTGCGGGCCCCGGACATTTCACCAGTCATGTCCTTTAATACATGTAGAATTAAATTGCCAAATGGTCACCTATTAATTTTGAATCCAGTTACTCACTAAATGTGACTAAAAATATGTGTTTATTTTTCTTTCTATTGGATATACAGTATACATGACTAATGTGATGCAACTGAGGCCAATGAGACCTTTATATGCATTATTGTTGATGATGTTGCAAAAATAAAAATAATAATAATAAAAACAGTATGCCGGACTGATGTATTAGTCGGTGGTTCTTATGTTGACACTATATACGAGACACAATCTCACCTACTTCCCTATTGGTGTCGTACGTTTGTTTACTGTAATAGTTGCATTGTAATAACTTATTTTGATTAATGGTGTAACTTAAGTTTTTATTGTAAATCATGCACAATAAGCATTGTTGTTTAATTTATAATTTATATACATTTTAAAATGAAATAATATTAATTTTGATACATACATAGAGAAGAGTTTTCGCAACCGTTTAAAAAAATAATATATACTGTACATTTGCATACTGTTCTTATACATAAGAAGCATAATTTTAATGAAACCTTGAATGATCTCATAAATAATCATGTATTTTGATAACTTAATTTGAGACACCATCAAGTCATGTTAGGTAAATTGGCATGCCTGTCAATGTCAAAGGGCACACATGGAAATAATTGAGAAACTTTTTTCTTGTATTAAAATCGTTTTTGACCCAATTTGTAACAAACAGAGTAGTAATTTGCTAAATTATCAACTGAATTGAGATGTTTTTCTTGAAGTAAGGAGAAACAGTTACGAAACTTGAGGGCAGGGGTTGTAGTCAGTAAGAATACAAATGCCATTAAAATGTTAGAAGATCCTGTATGTTGTATTTAAGGTTGTTACCACACTTAAGTGAGATTTTATATACATGTATTGTTTGATTTTATTAACCTGTTAATTACATACTGATTACCGCCTATATGACTGAAATACTGTTGGAGAAAGGCGTAAAATGAAACAACAAACAAACAAACATACTGATTACACGGTCGATACACACAATATATTAATCTTCGGTAGATTTTCGGTAAGTTTCGTGAGATGTACGCTATACGATGTGATTTAAAGCTACATTTAATAAATGTGTAAAGATATTTCGCCGTCGGCCTAAAGACCAAGTTATAGCTGCTACCCGTAACACAACAAATATGAAATTTTCTTGTGCAAAAACATTTTAACCGTTTAATCTCACGGTGCACTAGGCCTGAGGTTCAGTAAAAAGTAATCATCTCATGAAAAAAGATTAAATTTGTTTTAAAACCTCCGTTACAATGCGGAAATATACCGTTAAATTAGGACTGCTACTTATAGTCATGTTTATTGATTTAATATTGATATACGGATGATCTGAAGGCGGAGTTTCTCAAGAAAACAGATTTTGTACTTCCGATTTCGCCACAATGAGGTTGTCCATTTTTATGCTTATAAAAGTCATTTTGGTTGTCGATGTGAAACCCAATTTATTAATGAAATGTCGCTATTTCTGTTTTTATGAAATTTATTAAATGTAACTAAAAGGACGTTTTCGGGAGTTTTCATATAGACATATAGGCAACATTAAAACTGTTCTATAGAATTTCTTTAAACTTGACATGTTGTTAGAATATGATAATAGAAACATTTAAGCGAAAACAAAATCATGGTCACCGTTCTTGTTTTTGAGTTATCTGCCCCTGAATCAGAATTTTCTACTTATTTGAGGTCATTTAAAGGGCATATAACTTATACATACGTAAATGAATTCTTGTTTTTACTTCTGGATGTTGTTTTTCTTTTTATTGTTGAATACAATACATAATTACATGCAATTCCTTATATCGTTTCTGTTATTTTTTCAACGAAAATAAAGGTACTTAGAATTCATAAAAAATAGGCCAATTTTTAAGAAAAAATACATAGGTTAAGAGAAGAGGTGGGGAAAAATTAAGAAATTCCATTGAACAGTTTTAATTTTCCTATATGTCTACATGCCAAGTTTAAAGAAATTATATTGAACAGTTTTAATTTTGCCTATATGTCTATTTGAAAACTCCGGAAAACGTCTTTAATTTAATTTGTATCAAAGAAATAAGTGTATTGAGAGTAATAGCGCAATGGGGTAAAGTACGAGTTTATAATATATGTGCCGTACGTTTTTTAAGTTCAAAACCGCGTAGGTCCATGTTTTTTTCTTATTAATATTTTCAACATTATTGAAGCTATATATGATTTTGTTGTTGTTCGTTTTGTTTTAATGTGTTTTACTTCATTTTGAAAGACTATACTCTTTTTAAATAACATGGTTTAAGAATAAATGTTTAAAATTCATTCGGATTAAACTCAATAAATGTCATTTCAATCTCGTAAAACACACTACACATCGATTCCATTAATATATCCTGAAAAAAATAAAGAAAGGGTAGGCCTAAAACATTGGCAACAGTAGGGATCGAACCACAGACCTCTTAATTATCAGGCATTCACTTAACCGACTGTGCTATTGTGAATAGTGTTTACGTCACTTGTATATATGTTTTTCTGTGTTTGATTTCATCAAATAATGCAGACATGTAAAGACGATACATGATTGTATATACATGTAAGTACTTAAAAATAAACATTGAAGTTAATCAGACAAAATCATTATATGCATTGAAAATTCTGTAAATAATTGAACTTTAAAGACCAATAAAAAGCAAAGGAAATAAACAAATGTATATGATAATCTCGTACTTGGTTTGACTGAGTTTGTTAATACAAGAAGGAAGTATTTAGTTTGGAGACTAAAACCATTACAGTCAAATCGTCAGACCACAATACCACATTGATCAAAAATATACAGTACGCTAAAGTATGATCCCTCGGAAGCATTAATTACAACAAAAATACTTGAATATTGCAGATCCGGTTCAAATATGGGGAGTCGGGTTGGTAATTGGGAGACAGCAACCCCAACCATGCTAGCACGGGAGATGAAGGTCATTACATAAAAAAACGAAGAAGAATAAACAAGTCAATGACCCATACAATTGTTAATTGCGATCATTTGGGAAAGAAATTGTAATAAGAATTAAACTGATGCAACAGAAACATAATAATGAAAGTTAAAGAAAATAAAATAAATTAATTAATAAATAGATAAATAAATAAATAAATAAATAAAAACAGCAAAAAACAAGAAGTATCTTTCAAAAAGATACTCGACCGAAGTAATACTGGTTAACACGCAAAATTATGTTATGTCTAAGTTTTCAATACAAAGAGAAATTTCAGCAATGCTTGCATAACAATGACATGATAATTATTTCTTGTATTTAAGAAAATTCCCATTTTATAAACATTGAAATTAAATTATAGCATATTAATATTGATATTTTTTCAAAGTAGGACAACTTAATTTAAGGTGTCCCTTTTACTTCTTTTATGTTTGACATTAACAATTTTGTAATCATTTACAAATTAACATAAAAGTAAAAGAACTATCCTTATCCCTGTACATTTAATTTTAGAACTATCCTTAACATTTCATTTAATAGAGGCAAAACTATCCCTTACATTTAATCTTAGAGCTATAAAATGGTAAGAACTATCCTTTACATTTTATTTTAGAATGATTAGAACTGTCCTTTACATTTTATTTTAGAATGACCAATGAGATTCACCGATTTCAGTTTGTTATTCTAAAACGACAAATGCATTTTCTTCTTATATTCAATCCTTCACTGTTAATTTTGCAGGAAGTCAACCTGATAACAGACGGCATTCGGCCGAAGAAAAAAAAACAATCAATATATAACTTATATATCATATAGTTTTTCAATCAATTTAAACATATTAAACAGCGAAGGGAATGCTAATAGAATCTATATATTATGATATTCTAAGAAAAAAAATGCAATGTCTATTGTTCATCGTTTTTTATGGTATGCTTTAAGTCATAAGTTCGATAGAAGCTTTGGCAGTTATTACTTTGTTGTTTTTTATTTATAATGATACACATATCAAAATCAATTTACATACCATGTTGAAATTTTGCAGGCGATCTAAGTAAAAAACAACAACAAAAACAACAGTTGATAGGCTTAGAAGAGCCTATATAAAGGACATATCCCTGATTTTAGAGCATGACCAGTTCACTCACCATACAGACGTGTAACATGGATACACTTCTCATCTTTCTGTGCATAGTTGGCTGCCTAGCCGCAGTCCTAGGTAAGAGTTTGTTTGTTTGTTTTTATATTCTTGATTTAAAGTATTGTTTTACGTTTATAATATGTTCATAAGGTTCATAATATGTAAATATGTAAGCATATTATACGGGGGCCGCGAAGCAGTGCAATATGGTACAAAGATTTGTATACGGATACAGCGCTTTCATTAAAATTACATAATAACGTTACTTGAACAAAGCCGTGTTTGGCGACAGTAAGATTTATAAATATTAGTTTTACAATACGATTATAAATTTGTCAAACGTGTTCTTTAATGTAGATTTATTATCTGTACCCAACAAAGTGCAACGATAGTAAAATATTGGAAGAATGTACGCATTTTAAGACAAAAAATATATTGAAAATGCCAGTTGAATGTATTTTCAATAAAGACTCCTAATACTTTCTTAACAATAACATTAATACTTGTATTGTTTCAGGAACTCCACAGTATGGCATGCCGTATGATGATGATTATTCAGGTAATTTTCCTCCATTTATAACATTTCTGTATGTTTCTATATTCGGGTAATTCATGCTCCATTTTGTTTCTAAGTTATATGCGTTATAATAGTTTTTTAATAATAATTCAATGTTGCCACAATCTTTTTACAAAAGGCATATATTTTTATTATTATGTAACGAAACGTTCTGCATTACAGATAAAAAAAAATTACATTAACTATAGTAAATTTTCTTTGACAATAATTATAATATTGTTTTGAAGGAGATATGAATAATATAATTTAATGTTGTGCCGGTAACCTGAACACATGGTATTTAATTTAACTTTTCAAAATATTAATAGGCGGTGGGGGCGGAGCAATGATGCCAGGAATGATGCCCGGGATGGGTAGTGGTTACCCAATGCCGATAACGATGCCAGGAACTGGAATGGGAGGGGGCATGGATGGCATGTATGGAGGCGGGGGCGGTGGCGGTGGCGACTACGGTGGTTACGGATACCCGGGATATGGAGGGTTTGGTCGACCTAGGTACTGTAAATGCAGGAAACATTGTCGCCGCAATGAACGATATATGGGAAAATGCTGCAGAACAGCATGGAGATGTCGTATTAGGTGTTGTAGATATTAAGAGGTACATTAACACTATTATCATGATGTTTGAGCATTCTCTATTCTATACAATTCAACCCTGACCACGGTTAATATCTTAAATAGACTTTTCCATCTTTTTATCTGAACCAAACCATTTAACATTTTAGGAAAAACTTAAGATAAGTACTGACTTAATAAGAAAAACAACAGTTCAGACCATGATTAGAAGGCACGGAGATGTGCCGGGTGATCTAGGTATGTACCTGTAACATGTGAAGATTTAGTTGTGGCTAGGTGGTTCAAAGTTAAACATATCCTCAAAAAACAGATTACTTTTTACAATGATTGCAATCAATAACAATATTAGCCTACAAGTTCCCAAGAACGGACACCCTGCACATTTATCTTGTTAATTTATACTTTTTATTTGTAAAATTTCACTTATTCATTAATTTCTCAAAGCTTAATGAAATTATTGACAGCAACTTGTATTGAAACCAAAAGAGTTTTTATACTATTTGATGTAAGTCCTATACTTATGAAATGTTAATTTTTTTAATTGTGTATTTTTTCGTTCAATTTCAGGGTCTAACAACATCTGGAGTACATGACGTTGGAACAGCTTGGAATTGTTTATTATGTATATATTCTTATTGTTAAATTTGCTTTATCGCATTAAAATACTGCAGTAAAGATGTGTTTTCTTACTTTCTAAACGATAAGTATTGTTTCTAAAAAACAACAGCAATTTTATTAAACATAAAACATCTCATAGGTGTATGTAGCCAATAGATGTGAATATGTGGAGTTTCCGAATTTAATTCAGGGAGAAAACATTTAAATTAATGAACTATTTTATCTCCTCCAATACTGAAGAGCATAATTTCCGTTGCCAAATATATATGCATACAAGTACTCACAATACATGTATATATAACAAATATATTGACCATATGATTTAGCAATTTTCATTTATTACACTTGTTAAACTCCTGCCACTCATAGTAGAAGCATATATAAAGTACGTAACTGCAAACACATACAATCTACATTATATTATATAATATTATATTTGATAGTATACAATTTGCTTAGAAATAGTAAATCTTGCACGGACTTGAAAGAGACAAGAAACACCACTGGATTGTATATTATTAAGAACTTACACCGGCTGTCGGTTATCTAGCTCGAGGTTAACTGTTTGCGGCGGTAACATAGATACGTACGTGTTGAAGGCTCGGCTTAATTGAGCCTGTTCATGGACGGTACTGTCAAAGGCAAACTACCGTCAACACCCCTAGCACCGGCTTAAGCGGAATTCAACATTTAACATGAACTTGTACTATTTTAAATTTTGAAACATACGCAAATTTGCTTATAAACCTATAATTATGTTTCGGAAAACGTCATAGTCGCACAAAGAACCTCGAAGTCGTTTATTAATTAAACTGCAAATTTCAGCTCGCCGTCAAACCGGCGTCCTCTTTCTGTGATTCCGGTACGTTTGTGGAGCTTGTACAGCGTTTGTATGGCGTTCATACATTGTTCTAATTATGTGCGACCTTACGGAGTTTTAATGTGTTCTTAGAATGTGTTCTACGACTCTGGCGGTTATGTGGCGACAACAAGAGCATCCAGGAAACGTCATAGGCATACAAAGAACTACCTGGTCGCATTTCAATGCCCCAGGGTCGTCATCGCCCATTCGCCAATTACACGTCAAACAATTTTTGCGCATTTATATGACGACTATGCGACATCTACAATACTTTCACAATAAGTGCTTGGTGTGTTCACAGAGTTTCTACAGCGACTATGGGATTCCTGGGCGTTTTAGATCATGAAAACGCCGATCCTCAGCGATATTTTTTGTACATGTTCAAAATAGTCGCCCTGAGGCAATGATGGGGTCCACATAGCGACTTGAGTAGTTCCATCTCAAACCTACCGCGTTCATGGCGTTTCTACTACGTCCCGGGTCGACCCTGTGAAAGTAGTCAGGTCGCATGCCCCTTGTAACGAGTTAAAATTGAAAAGGCTAGGTACTACTGTATATATCAAATACAAACATTGGGTGATTAAAAGTATAGAACCTGATAAGAAATCCAGGGTTGCCTGAATCTATACTGGTATTATATTGTGGGTAAAAGCTAATTACTTTCAATTTCAACAATGTAAGGGTAAAATAAAGAAAATGAATAATGCAGTTAGTATATGACACGAGTCTATTTAATTCATTATTAAAAAACATGTTCTAAAATGTTATGAATCAAAGAAACTAATAAGCTAATCTTTTTCTAATTTTAGTTTTATTTATTTTATTCCAGAATTAAGGAACTAAGTCCCCTGCAGATTTTAACATCACGGGCCTGGAAAGATATTTTTCGAAATCTTTAAAACATTTGATATAGGTCTTAACCAAAATCTTGTTTGCAAATTTCAAACCATGCACTATCATTTTTTTATTTTGCAAAATGATCAGCATCTAAAAGTAATAACTCAGAATTGCACAAAATATCGAATTTTTAACTCAATTCTAAAAAAACAACAACAAAAAACCGTAAGCATATGCAAGAATGTTTAAATTCAACAATAAATCTTTAGACATTTTTTTTAGTTTTCAGTTAATCACAGATGAATATTGCTTATGTTAACAATAAAAACAAACGCATGTTTGTTTTTTGTTTAGAGAATTGTGATTATTTTGCGTTAATTACCAATTAATATGTTAAATACGTCTTCATTAGGTTTGATTGAAAATGATTAACATTATTCATTTGCACCTTTTATCCTTTTATAACTGCAATTCATTTGTTTATTTAGATTTGTTTTGTTTATTAAATATTCATGAGAAGTTCAATGACATTACAAGAACGTAGCAATTGTAACCATACTGGGAAGATGCCACGATAAACAACATATCTCTTTGCTCTTGATTGTAGACATTAATTCATTAATTTGTGAATTATGCTGACAATTAATATCTATACCACCATTGTAGAATATACTCGTATATATCCTCACTGCTGAATATCTATTTACTCAATGAGGAATATCTATTTACTCAATGAAGAATATCTATATCCTCATTGTGGAATATCTATATCCTCACTGCGAATATCTATATCCTCACTGCGGAATATCTATATCCTCACTGCGAATATCTATATCCTCACTGCTGAATATATATATCCTCACTGCGGAATATCTATATCCTCTTTGTGGAATGTCTATTTCCTCACGGCGAATATCTATATCCTTAGTGTAGAATATCTATATAATCACTGTAAAATATCTTTACCATTAATGTACAATATATAAGGTCTCACTGTAGAAAATCGATATCCTCACTGTGGAATATCTATTTTTTTACTGCGGAATATTTCTATACTCACTGTGGGATATCTATTTCCTTTCTGCTGAATATCTATATCCTCCCTACGGAATATCTTCATCCTTACTGCGAAATATGTTTACTATCTTGACTTGACTTGATGCACTTAAACCAACAACCTACCGTCCTAGACTTCCTGCACTCCTACCACCAGCTTACTAGACTTACTGCAGTTCAGGTACCCATCCTACTAGTATTTTTGTATTCCTACCGTCCATCCTACTAGACTTGCTGCACTCCTACCACCAATCCTGCTAGTTTATCTGTATTCCTACTGTCAATCCTACTAGACTAAATGCACTTCTAACACCCATCCTACTGGCTTTCTGCAAGTCAACCACCTATCCTACTAGATTTGCTGCATTTCTACCACTCATTCTACTAGACTTTCCTCGTTGTATTTCTATCGTCCATCCTACTAGACTTACTGCTCTCCGACTCATCGTACTGAACGTTCTGCACGACAACCACTTATTAAATTGTTGCACTGCTACCGACTATTATACTAGAATTACTGCACTCTAACCACCTTTCCCTCTAGACCTGTTGCACTCTAATCACCTATCATACTAGACGTGCTGCACTTCAACCACATATCCTACTAGACTTGCTGCTCTCTTACCATCTATCCTACCAAACTTGCTGTAAGTCAACCACCTACCCTACTAGTCTTGTTGTAATACTACCATCTACCCTGCTAGACTTTCTGCACTTCTTCCAACTATCCTTCTAGACTTGTTACAATCCTACCACCATTTTACTAGACTTGCTGCACTTCTACCACCTTTCCCACTAGATTTCTTTGTGCGTCAACACCCATTCTACAAGAATTGCTTTTGTTTCTCACTTGTGAATTAACATTTCATATTATCTCTATTCGACATAAAGCCCTTATTGTTTAGAGATATTGCTTGAATGACATATTACTCTTAAATTGCTCCTATCAATATCTGGAAAAAAGTGATCCCTTGGAAGCATTAAAACAGCAAAATTACATGAAAATTGCAGACTCGGTTTGAGTGAGTCTGTACATGAGGGATAAAGAAAAAGTGCAACATCCCCAAATAACAAAACATCCCTATCAAAACATGTTTTATTCTATCAAAGAAGAAAATAGTCTGAATGACCAAGGTCGTTTTTCTTCTAAAAACTTCGTAAAGTGAAGTACAGCAATTGTTTAATTATCTGCAATAAAAATGATGCATATAGTCATTAGCAAATTAAAGATTTTTATAGATATAAATGTTGTTTTAATGCACATTTTATGTTCTTAGTTTAGTATAAAAGTTGGCTATACTGTAACAAGAACGAGTTGAAGCGAGCCAATTTCGTTGGTGACGCCAGGATGAAGGTGTTGTTAGCCGTACTCTTAATCCTTGTGGTGGCAGCAGTCACAACAGAAGGTACGTTTATTCATAGACTTCTAATCAATGTTAATCTGTATGCAGAAGTTTCATTTGTTTATATATAACTGTTTCTACTAATTTTTGTCACATTTATGTACCGCTTTGGCGACTCCGTGTAAACAGTATTTAGCGTCAACAAAACGCGCTAGATGTTAGGGTTACACTACATGGGCGACGCGTTTCTACTGTTAAGATTTGGGATAAATATATTATATTCGCGATGTTTCAATTCTGATTTTATCGAACGAGTTGAATAAAAAAAAATTGCGAGCCTCAGATTCAATGTCCTCTATTAATTTGTCAGTGTTTATCTGTTAATTAACATTAATCTGTACATGTATATATTTGGACAAGTACACAGGTGGACACACAATATTGGATGAGCAGCTGTGTCCAAGTCTCAATAAATCCCGCATTGTTTTAGTATAATTTCGTATCACCTTTTAATTATGTACCCAAATTATATTAAGTTCATTCGACTTTTTATTGTTAGATTTGACGTTGCAGTTAGAGCGCCAAATATGTGAATATATTTAGTCATTTGGTAAAATTTAAAAGCAATGATTGGATGTTGATAATTGATAAAGAGTAAAATGCTTTATTTGTCAATATTTATCTGTTTGTATTTAGCTTTATTGGTTAATATTAAAGAACTGCAAGAGATTAAACAACCCCAATAACAATAAGTTCTTCAACCAATATTAAGCCAAACTGTAAAATATGTTCCGAACCATAGAGTTGTCAACCAGACGAAACTTTGCATCTAATAAGATTCTTCATATTGGAACCATATCACCAAAGTTTTAATTAAAATATCATTAAACAGAATTGTCTGAGTCAAAAATCAAGGTATGCAAAGTCGCTTTAGTATCAATATATGTTGAAACATGCTAAATGAAATAATGTGATTAAATGTTTAAAATATACCACTTTTGCGACACGTAAAACAATTAAATGTTTAAAATGTTTCGCTTTTGCGACGCCGTATTGCGATCAAATGTTTAAAATCTGTACGCGTTCTTTAGTCTTCAGTTCAGTACAATTTTCTTGAAAATTAATCACGAGTATGCAAAAATAGCACCAGTTTCTCTGAGTATCTGAACTGTGCATGTTTACGAAAATTATAAGACATATTTTCTGCTCTCATACATTTCTTATGGGAATATATCGTTTTATTTTGATTTGTCATTTTAGTCTAAAACACATTTTTACGCACTTAATTTACCTTGAAACCTAATGTCATTTTACCAAATATTCTTTTTTAATTGTCTTTTTACACATTAAAAATATAGATATGAAAAATCCGCTTCAATTATTTACACTACAATATCTTTGTTTGTTGTGTTTCAAAAGTGCATTTAATCAGGCTTACAATCATTGCTAGTAAAGAAAGTGTGTGCAGGAATTATTAAAACACACTGCATACATGTATGTACAATAATTTTTTCACAAATGTTTCAAAGTCTCTTTCATTTTATATTATAAACTAACTACAATTTTCATTATAGGCCGTCGGAAAAAGCACCATCACAAGAAACATCCATGGGGTCCTTGGCGTTATGGGGGTCGATTTGGCGGATATGGAGGCTACATGAGTGGATATGGTTACGGGGGATATGACGGTGGATATGGCAACGGCTTTGGTGGTGGATATGATGGTGATGGGGGATATGGGGGTATTGGCGGCGGATACGGTGGATATGGAGGTTTTAGCGGCGGATATGGCGGTTTTGGCGGCGGATATGGAGGTTTTGGCGGCGGATATGGCGGATATGGAGGTTTTGGCGGCGGATATGGAGGTTTTGGCGGTGGTGGTGGGGGATACGGAGGTGTTAGCGGTGGTTCCGGTGGATATGGAGGTATTGGCGGCGGACACGGGGGCTGGACCGGCGGTTTTCACTGGCGATATGACAGGTGTAAATGTATGAGGAAATGCCCGAAAAACAAGTTTTACATAGGAAAGTGTAAGCTTTGCAAGAGATGTAAACTTGTGATTTGTTGCACATGGAGACGCCGTAAATGGGGTAGCGGATGAGTTCAGTGATTAAGGAAGTCAGTATTAGAATTATTACAAAAACTGAACGGCAGTGACAAAATAATATTAGCAACCACTCATAAAAACTGTACGCTATTTGTTATTTAGTGTAGAATTCCTCTTCGTGAAATACTTTCATTATCTAAGTTTAACTTTTCTACTGTTTTGTTATATCGTTTTCACAGACAGTTGTATTTAAAAGAACAACTTCCAGTTAGGTTGATTCTTTTGATTTTTTATTCATTCATATGAAAAAATAATCAACTCATTCTAAACGCATCAAGTTTTAAAAAAAGTAAAAACATGACAACCAAAAATTAGATATTATTTGTTTTATAATATCACATATATTGTTTAGGTAATGACAAATGATATTGTATCGAATTTATTTATTTGTATTTGTTATTTTTCATTTTACATAACACTTTTGTTACGTATGTTTATTTACAGACTGCCATATCATCTTCATAGACCAGAACGACACCGGACAAAGAGATTGCCTGATATTTGTAAATAGATTTATATTGAAGCTATCAATATTAACAATATTAAAGCTTACTCAACTGCAATCCTTTATAGTTAATTTAGTCCCATTTTTAAGATTCTCCTTTTCTTTTTCTTTTTTTCCGCCCGCAAACAACCAGATATGTTTTTCGGTATATTGTTTGAGTTCATATATTTTACATGTTTTGATTAAGCCGGTGCTAGAGGGCATGGACGATAGCATGTATCCATAAACAGACATAATGAATAAAAACATCAAACGCAAAACAACATGAATGTCTGAAGAAATGCTTGACCTCATTAAAGAAAAATTCACGTTTGTTGTCTGAACGAAGTTATAATATGTACCGACTTAAATAAAATAATAAAATAGAATGAGGTGATTTGGGGTCACGAAGCCTATCACAATCATTTTGAAAAGGATAAATATATTTAGAAGAAAAAATGCAAAATTCATTATGGTGTTTACTTACATGTAGGTATAAGGTAAAATGCTCTCACTTAGAACAATTGATTTTATAGGTATGAAGTTAAATTTAAAGCCTCCAAGAATACGAGTTTCAAGGTTTGAAAGATTAACTTTATCTAGTAACTGTTCAAAATTTACTACAATCCGGCGGCCTATAAACAAAAATTTCTAAGAATGGTTTAGAATTTTTATATTTTATCTGAATACAGATAGATTCAATATCCATGTGTTCAATATCAGCAAAACGCTTAAAAGGTACTTTATTTAAGATATAGGTGTTGGTGTTGGTAGTTTTCACTCCGGATCACGACAGTAAGCCACATTTAATTTATCAGAGCACAGTTCAGCCACCGCATTATTCCTTATCAGGCTGTCAAGCAGTTTACCAGAACTAATTGTCTTCACTTTCTTAAGAAACTGAAGTCTTCTGTACATGCCAGAGCAGAGGTACAGTGCAAATGACCGTAGACAATCGCCCGATTCACAGTCCAACGCTCTACCTATTTAGCTTACCGGACGGCTTTAAGATATAGGCTTATATTCCATCGCAATTTTTCCTTTTCTGTCTATCATTTCACTACTAAAATTACTTATGTTAAGATAACTATCATTTACTTCTTCGGACAGAAACGTTTCATATAAACCCAAAATGTCTGTGCATTTATTTTGCCCTAAATGGTAACGTAACTGGTCATGATAATTAAGAAAATGTCTAATATTTAAATTGGTTATGTTAAGCTCCCTTGTATTGAATAAATATAATTTCTTTTTATCATAATCATCATCACCACCACCATCATCATCATCAGCATCATCATTCTTAACCATATCATCTCTTCGTGATCATCATGATCATGATATTATCATCATCGTTATAACCATTATCATCATCATCGTTTTGATAATTATAATCATCATTATTCCCATCTTCATTTATATCATCATTTTTCTTTGGCATATCGTTTTAATCATTATAATCATCAACATCATCATCATCAACATCATAATCAGTAACATTGTTATGTTTATATGACTGTATTTTTGGAATATGAACTTTCATTAATACTAAAATACTCTTTGACGTACATCAATGGGATACCTTTATTATCACCATTATCATCATTATGTTCTAAATCGAAGTTAGATTCAAACAATGAAACAGAATATGACACTAATATAATATTTCCCTGCTTCTATCACACAAATCTAGCAAATATTTGAATTTGTTTTTACCTTGAATGTTAAAGCAGCGATCGTCTGAATGTCCTATTGGGCGTTCACCAATACACTTCGTGTTTCAGTGTGGTTAGCAATATTGTTTAGTAAATCTTATTTCTTCATCATGTTTGTTTAGATAAAATTGTCTGTTTCTTGTCCATAATATCTCGACCCCCTGACTTCTTCATTAGCATGATTCAATTATTTTACGATGAATATACGTCGATTTATTGCTGCCACAAGGGTCTTGGAGCCATATTTGCTGAAATGTATCAATCTCTAGCAAAATTGTGCTTCACTATGCTACCATCACCGTACATGAACGATGAACAAGTTTCAATAAGTTAAGCACTTGTTTTTATACAAATGTCCCGCTCAATTTTGTTGTATGATGTGTCGCAGCGAAGCAGAGATGCATTTTACACTGCGGGTGAGTTCTAAAAGCGTCCTATATGTCGTGTCAGAGCGTATTCCTGAACAGACAGTCATTTCATTCGACAAAAATAATGACGCGTTTGTATTGTATCATATCTAGCTTGTTGACTTTACATTCGATATTTGTCTACACATTTATCGATCAACCTTATCATCTGAACCTTTAGGTTGTATTCCTTTAAAGATCGAGTCACTGTTTAGAAGTGTTCTGTCCCTATTAGAAAGAATGTCTTTTCTTTATGCTTGCATTTGCTTGATCGTAACAGGAACTCTCGAGGTAAATAATACAGAAGATGATTCGTAACTTTTCTCATTGATCCTTTTTAATGTATCAATTATCCCATTAAAACGCCTTTGAAAGCTATCCTGCGCTTTTTGTATTTCTGATTTTATATAGCAGTTTGCTTCTTTACCATTTCTTCAAAAGTTTGATCAGTAAATGAATGGTGTACCGATAAGTGCTTTTCAAAACGACGATTTCGTCGCTCATTTGTGAAAACTTGTTTTTGGAAAATACCATATGACTTGAGAGTTGTTGTTTTATTTCTGAAATATCCTCAACATCAACTTTAGAACTCAATTTATGAAATAATTTCCAAACATCCACGAATATGTTAAATATGTACAGCAAATATTTATATACATTATAATAAATACATTCATTTGTTATTTAATAAACCTAGGGTTAAGGTTAAATTTCTAATTACCTCCCTTTCTTAACATGAAATGTTAAGTACGGATATATCTTTACAAATCATGCTTGCTTTATACAATACTGATAAAACATCATTTGAGTATCAGCTTTATGATATACGAGCTAAAACCATAAAAAAATGCGTTACAGGGTCTTTAATACTTATCACACATTTTAAAATGGAACTTTTGAACTTACAGAGTTTGCGCCATGTATTGCTATGAATGATTATTGGTGTAAAAAATATTAGAAAAGGCATCGTCTTTATCAAATAATAAAAACATAATATATTTCTTCATACGTGCAGTAAAACTCAGTATTGTTCTAATCAATGTTTAAAAACCTTATAATGTCCTTGACATAAAATACATATCATTCGCGGTATTAATCACTGACACTTTGACTAATAAAGCTTTTTATGACCTTTGAAGTGGGCTTTTGTAGATTATTATCATGCCTTAAATTGTAAATTTTTATAAGATATGTTTTCTTCTTTTAAAAAAATTAGTGTCCAACTTTATTTGTCATCCAATGGAAACGCAGTATTTCTTCAAAATTATGTGGGTTATTTTTCATAGAAGAATAAAAGTCCATACTATATCAAATCTGTTCATAGTCGCCTTCTATTTTTCTTAGTGTTCAGCTTTATTTGTCATACTATGAAAACGCTGTATTTCTTAAAAATCGGGTGTGTTAATTTTCATAGAATAACAAAAGTCGATACTACATCCGTATTCATCCGTAGCTGTTCTACAGAAATTACAAACATTCTTCTGACGCTATCGCTCCCGTCGAAGTTTCTAATTTCTGTAGAACAGCACGGATGAAAACTAACACTAACATATACATAATGTATAGTTAAATGCAGTTATGTAATAAAACCATTTTTGATTGATTGGATCAATAATTACAAAACACTTGAACGATAAACTATTCATTATTTGTAATTAAACACAAGAACAGTGGAGCTATATTTCCATTCTTACATGCTAATAGAAAGAGAATTGATAAACTATAATATATTGAACTACATAGAGCTGAGAAATAATCTTACTTAATGACGCACTTTGTTTCTTGACGTCACAGTTGACGCCTTTGATGTGTCAGCTGTTCCCTCGCTGTCTAAGAGCGTGTGAGAATTCTTAAAAACTCTCTAATCTTGTCACAGTAATTTTTAGTACCATACTTTTGCATTAAAGTCATCACCAGAGGATGTCCTTTACTTTAATATCTACATTGCTTGACATCGTTCATTTGTGTTGGCCTTGCTATTTCATTATCAGTAATCTGATGTACAAAGATATAAGCAAGTGATTTTCATCATATGGTAGGGTAGATCAATTTAATCAAATTGCTTGTTAAAATTTAAATAAACTTCTGCAGTGTATGTTAATATATTATGAAATTGTATTGTAGTGAATGTTCTATCTTAGATAGATGCGAAATAAATTAGGATGAAATTTATTTATTCTTTCAATGTCATGGATAATTAAAGTTGAAGGAATACAAAAAAGATATTCACGATTGAAATTTTGTTTGATCATTTATTCTGATACTTTTTCTTTTGCAAACAGGTCCAATCAAATTGAGTCTATATGTCATTTAATCTGCATTGCCTTGTTTGGCGACCTTAAGTATTTTGAATGTGACTACTTTTTATTATCTTGTCAACTGATCCTGTTAAAGCAACTGAATTGAAAATAACTAGTAAATATGCTAATCTGATTGGTACAATTTGATTGGTCAGTCATCCTCATGCTTTAATATTACTTTTAATCATAAAATATTAAGCTCGTCATATGACTAACACCTTTGCGCCCTTGTGCATTTCAGAAAAGACAAAATAGTACTTGACTTCAGCGATAGGAAAAAACTACTCCTAACTTTCATATTAGATGATCATTTTTAAAGGACAACAACAGACAAATACCATTACGTAAAGAATAGATAACTTTTGGATAATTTCATGAATTCTACACTTCTAATCGTGTTCGTAACAACAAAGAATAAAATCAAGTATATTACAATTTATTCATTTAATTATATATATATATATGTATTTCATAAATTGCTATATCAAAAAAAAATATTTAATTGAACGAACAATATAATGTTTTTTCTTATTTATAGTTTACCTAAATGTTGATTTTTAGTAAGGTATCAATCATTCACTTATTTATTTTCATTTTGAATTTTTTTTTTCATTACAAAAAAAGAGAAAGGTATAAAAAAGTATTGTAAGATTTTAATGATCACATTTACTACATTTTAATCATGCCTGTTCTGTATATTTCATAAGTTGTGTAGCATGGAAAAATTGTATTTGTCGTTACATATGTTCCAAGGTTTTTCCCCAAATTTAATGTTTTTTTATTTTTAAAAGCCTTGAGTTAAAAAGGGTTTAAAGTTTTAAAAAAAAGGGAAAGTTTTTAAAGGGATTATTTGTATCAAATTTCTAAAATGAAATATCGGGTTTAGTTTTAAATTTTTCCCCGGTTGGTAAAAAGGCTACCGGGCAAATTTAAAACTTTTCAAATTTCCAAACCTGGCTTTCCCAAAGCAGTAAAGAGAAAAGACTAACTTGCTAAATGAAACAACGGCTTGCCCCTGACGAGTTTGAACAAACAGGTTATAAAACTAAAGCGTTATCACCTCGGTCACATGATGTCGTCATTTCAAATATAATTATTATGTCTAACCCAATGTATATAAAGAATAATAGTTTAAGATATAGAGGATATTTTTGAATGAGTGTAAGTTCAATTACACAAATTTATTGCCACGAGTTGAATAAAATTATTATTAATGCGAGCCTCTGGCGAGCCATAATATTATTTTATTCAACCGAGTGCCAATAAAATTCAAGTAATGAACTTACACGAATTTAATATTCTCTATTTATCACCATACCAAAAAATAAAGAACCGTTTTAATGGTGCAAATAAGAGTCATATTTCAATTTGACGCGCCCTATTAGGTATAAACGCTAACATTTAGCGCGTCTTTACACTATGTTTGTATAACGCTAATGACGTCACGTCAAAATATATGCACGGCCGTGCAATACCATATTTACGGAGTCGCAAAATCGGCACGGGTGTGTGATAAATTGAAAAATAAAACAATAAACTTTTAAGATTTATTTCATCAAATCAAATAATGTTTCCTATGATTGTTTAATATATCACAGTTACATTCACAATTTAAAAAAACGTGTAAAATAACGCTCGTTAATAAACTGCATGAATGCATTTCCCTGAAAAATGAGTGATTGTTATAGTAAGTAAAGGACAAAAGTTTTACGTTATGTCTAGCACCTTTTTTGCAAGAACGTTTTGTAATATAAAGCGTTAATTTCTTAAGCTCAAACCAGTGGCTTGCTGAGTTGAGTGCAGAACAGACCACAAAGATGAAGTTTGCCGTCTTTCTTTGCATCCTAGCTCTGCTGGTCCTAGTAGAAGGTAAGTAATATTCTTCTTCATTATTCCTTTATTCTTAACAACGTCTCTTTTAAACAGTTCCGCCTTAGCTTCATAATTTCATTGATTTATTTTCTAAACAAAATTTGGTTCATTGCTTTTTCTGAACAAAGTTTCATATATTGGTTTTCCTATACAACGCTTGGGGTTCTAAATATTTTAAGATAACGCTCTTTATATACAATGAATACCTTTATAGAAGACGTTGAATAATTCTATTATTGTTGACAAAGTTTAATATCTTGGTTATTCTACACGTTTGGGATACTAGCTGGCAAGGTTTTCATACAATGGTGTTTTATAGACAATGTTTATTGCATTTTTCCCTCGCAAACAAGTAATTATTTGCTATTTTGCGGATAAAGCTTCACATCTAATTCTTAACACATTTTTTTTGTTTTTGATAATTTCCCCATGCCCGTTTTAAAATTTGTTTATTATTGGCCCAAAATTTTTAAATCCCATAACTTCAGTATTTGCATTTCTAACATTTTTAGATATCTTGAAAAATTTCAAAGTATATGGCATTGTACTAAAAACTTTTTTTCCCTACAAAAAATTTCCTTACCCTTTAAAAATTTAGAATAATAACATAAAGAAAAGGGTTTTTAAAGAAAATTCAAAGTTATTCCACAGCAAATTTTAGGCCTTTAAAATCTTTTAATAATGTTTTTATTTATGAAGAAATTTTAAAGGGAAAAAATTGATTTTAAACAAAATTTATATAATAATTTTATATCTCCTGTTGCCGGTTTAATCTTTGTTTTAATATATAGCAATAATAAACAAGTTGATTATATCTATTTATTTAAATCTTTATACACATAGGAAATTCAAGATTATTTTCTATAAATACAGGATATATTTTCATCGAGTGCTATAGCAACGAATGAAATATGATTTTCGTACAAAAAGGTGAAAAATAAACCTGTATTTATAGAAAAAAACTTGAATTGTCTGTTTATTATATATATATTTGTATTTTTGTTGACATCACAATTTAAAAGGCGTGTTGTGCATTGGCTAAAGTTAGAAGTATAATATTAAAATCATACATTGTTCTACAGACATCTGAGGGTATACACCAATAAATAAAATAAAATTTAGTAAAAAATTTAGTAATTAAGTGTGGTGAACTGAACTATAGTAAATCAATAAATTGTTGCATAGAAAAACAAATCAAATTTAACAAAACAAGAATTACATCATAATAGCTTAAAGTGACATGAAAATAGGTTTGATTTTAACGTCTAGAGTCGAGATGACGATAAATAGTTGACATCCCCCTGCAAAACTAATCGATGTATGATATATGTTATAATTTCGAAACAACAACATGTTTATCAAAAAATTAATTTGTTTGATTTTCAACCTAATATTTGTAACTATTATGCAGTCTGTATTTTGAATAACTTTTCAGGGCGCCGTAAAAAACATCACCCTAAAAAATTCCCATGGTTTGCAGGACGCCGACCTGGCTTCTACCGTTTTGGATTTCACAGGGGGTTTCCACGCCATGGATTTCCAGGCGGATTCCCAGGCCATGGATTTCCAGGCGGATTCCCAGGTGGTGGTGGTGGCATGTATTCTTACAATCCGTTTTTTAGCGGCATGTCAGGCGGTGGAGTTGCGGGCGCTGCTGCGTTTGCGGCCGGTGGTGGAGTTGCAGGCGCCGCTGCATTTGCGGGCGGCAGGAGATATACAGGCGGTGATATGTTCTATAGTGGGGGTGATGGATTAGGAGGCGGCGGTGACGATGGGTATTATTCTGGATTTGGTGATGGTGGATTCGGCGATGGTGGATTCGGCGATGGTGGATACTCCGGTGGTTTAGATGGTGGATACTCCGGTGGTTTAATTGGCGGAGTTGGTGGTATGATTGGCGGTGTTGGTGGTATAAGTGGCGGTGCTGGTGGTATGATTGGCGGTCCTGGTGGTATGATTGGCGGTCCCGGTGGTATGATTGGCGGTGCTGGTGGTATGATTGGCGGTGCTGGTGGTATGATTGGCGGTGCTGGTGGTATGATTGGCGGTGGAGGTGGTATGATTGGCGGTCCTGGTGGTATGATTGGTGGTCCTGGTGGATTTGGAGGCCGAAGTTACATGGGTGGAAGGTCAGGTTTCACACATTGGCAGTTCAACAGGTGCAAATGTCAAAGGAAATGCCCAAAGAATAAGAGATACATCGGAAAATGTAAACTTTGCAAAGGATGCAAGTTAGTTATATGCTGCAAGTATACTAGACCCAAATGGGGTGGTCGTTACACCGGATAAGGAAACTGACAAGGCAAGTCTACCTTTATTTTTACTCTTCATTTATGAAAAAAATATCCATTCGCAACTTTACCTGAAAATCAGAAATTATGTGAAGGGTATAACATGAAAGATATTTGATTAAAATCCCGTCTGAAAATCTCATCCTTAATTCTATTTAACAATTTTGTAAATGCATATTTTAAACAATTCTTTGTGTTGATTTTTGGACTTTTCAGACTGTTTCGACTGCTTCATTTCATGATTAAACTTTAGTAAATCAAACGATATAAAATATATTTTATAAACTGACTAATTATCACAAAATTTTATGGAAATTTCTGTCACCCATTTTCAAGAGAAGTATTGATAATGAACAAGATAATGTAAAGTTGTAAGAAAATATAAGTATCTGGATACGGTTGAGCTTTATCTAAAAATAGCAAAAGAAATATTAGAGTAATATTAAATTATTACATGTATTATAATTATTATTATTATTATTATTATTATTACATTTCTGAATCAAGCAAAGGGGATATCATTGTGTTCATCAGACAGGTTTTTTTAAGTCGTGCGTGTGTGTGCGCGCGCATGCGTTTGTGAATGTGTGTGAGTGCGTTTGCGTTGTGTGCTTATCTTCTCCAAAAATCATTTTTGCTTTATCTTTGCAGATGATATTCCAAAACAAAGAATGAGAAGACATCAAACCGACACGGAAATCAACTATGACCTTTTCATGTAAATAAATGCAAACTAATAAAAGCTTAACACTCTGCAAACTAAATATTCGTCTTATAGTTTATTTAACATCTGTAGTTTATCTTACCCCGTTCTGATTTTCTAATTTCAAAAGTTTCATTATATCTGTCGTATCGTAAATCCTAGAGCGACACATGGTACTAAGAGTGGAATGATGAGATTTCTGAAGTTGTTTTGAACGTTGATGATATTGAACATAACAACTTGCAAGTAAAAATCACACTAACGGTTTCATTTTTATTTGATTTTTGCTTTTCTCAATCTTGCGTATCTCAATTTAGAAGGGTGTATTTGCGTATCTAAATTTAGAAGGGTGTATTTACTAAGTTCTCTAAACCCAATTTAAAACATTGATTAAAATGGTAGATGAATGGATATATAAAACTTTTAAGACACACCGTGTTCACATTTTAATGTGAAATTTAGACATTTTTAATCGTTTTCTCCAAACATTACATAAATGTTTTTAACACAGTGAATATCTTCTTTTCTGATAAAAGCACTGTAAGGAAGAACTTGTACAGCAACTAAGTTTAACAATACGATTTGTAAATCATTTATGGTCAAAATATCTAATGAAACAAACATAAACACCCCCAAATTTGTCAGTCAAGGACAAATATTTGATTGAAAATTTAAATAGAGTGGAAAGACAACTAAAGCTACAACTAAAATATCACCTTGACCCACCCCCACACAGAAAATAAATAAATAAAAATAAATGAATAAGATTAAAAGTAAATAAAACAACATAAAACAAATACAGATAAAGTATAAAGGTTTTAAAAGACTTTCATAAGAAGAATTTCATCACGTTTATTTTGTATTTAATTTGGCTGCTGTATACACAAGATACGTGTATTGTATACGTTTTATATAAAATATGTTCTGTTCCCAAAAATCACTGTTTTTTCACCAGTAATTATTATGTTGGATAACTGCTTACAAAGGCATTTTCTTGAAAATCTAAACACTTTTATTTATGATAGATAAAATATATAAATTGAAAAATCAAACTTAACCATTTATAATTACAATTAAATAAAAACGCACAAACTCTCAAACTAAATGCACATTTTATATTGTACTGCCAAGAGTTAACATTTGACAAACCTTCAACCTCTAGTTATGACTTTAACCAGACTCTATTTTAAACAATAAAGAATTTTTAAAGGATAATAAAGCCCTAACATTGCTCTTGTTTCCAATTCTCAAAAGGTTTATTTATAATGTACTACAATCGGCTGTTCTCTCTCAAACGCTAAATTATTGCACAACAAGCAAATATCACACCAAAGGGGGTGACACGATGCGGTAACATACTCTAACAACTTTTTATTATGACCAAATGACATCTGACCAATTAAAATTAAAAAGCTGCTGATAAATATCATTTTATAGCAGAAATTTCTTCAAATCTAACGTCTGGTATCTGTCTCATATGTCACGTGACTATCGGTAAAATTTTAGGCACTCAGTGGGGGATGGAACGCATTTAACGTGCGTACTGCTATCGGGGTAATTTAACTGTTTCACTTTGGATCTTATTATTATTATCATCATCATCATCATCACCATCATCATCATCATCATTATAATATTATTATAACATCAGTGTCACTCTGTCTGTGTATCCGTGTAACTATGAAATTCCGTTAAAATATAAATTAAAATAACGAAAAACTGAACTCCTGGCTTTTAAAGTCCGTGGTACGATGGACTGAAAAAGAAATTTGCCGATCAATGATTGACATCATTTAATAACAATATAAGGTATTACTCGATCAATATGAGCTGATCTTCTTGACTTCTATTATCCTGAATTTTAATCTATGCACGGCATACATAGATTCAGTTTCTTCTTGGACTTACAATAAATTGTGTTCGATTTATTGTTGATAAATATATTCAAAGCGTTCACTGAAAATACATTTTCATATTTTTTATTGATTATATTGATTCTTCATAAAGAATTAATCGACCGAAGGCTATTGTACAATATCTTATAAATTTGTGAGAGACACCTGACCACCAGTCATATAGTCGTTCACATAAAAATGTTGTCTGTTTCTTTTGACATGGTTAGAAAACGAGATTAAATGCAAACCAAGCTCTTGAATCCGCACTTATGACCAAAACTCAATGTAATGTCTCTCAGATTACGGGATAGATAAATTATTATTTCACACATTATAGATATTTTAGCAGCTACATTGTTTTAACCATCCCAATGGTCGCTATGCTAAATTATTTATGTTACATCTTGGCCGACATTTTCTTAATTTATAAAAAGGCTAATTAAATGATAGATGATACGATGTTGAACTATTCATAAAAGATGTACAGTATTTGTATGACACATGTATTACGAGTAGTATCGACTAATAACAAATAACCGGTAATACACGGTTATATGGGACTACCGATTTTCCTCACTGATGCCTCAACAGGGGGTGGAGCGTTATCGATAATTGACAGGTTATGCGCGTAGCAGATAAAAATGGTAAAGGTATTATTTAAAAACGTTTAAAAACATAGTTTCTGGACTAACTGCTTCCAAAATTAAATCACGAATGTATTCAGAAAAGGTTAATAAATTTACTCAGCAAAAAATCTCATATTAGGCATTTTTAGTGATAATTGACTAAGTTGTCACTTTGTGTGACACCGTGTATGTGTGTTGACATTGCTATTACATAATCTAATGTACTAAGCTACAACAAAGAGATTTGCATCATATGGAGGGGTTATTTAATTTAACGAATTGGCTTGTAACATTTCAATGTAGATTCTGCAGTTTATATTAATGTATCATGTCATTGATTTCTGTTGATAAAGTACATGCCTGGTAAATTTAGCTTTATCAGTCACCCTCAGCTAAGAGAATGGAATACTTTTACTTCTTACTAGTCAGAAAATAATAAACTTATAAACTTTTAATCGGATAGAGTTTTTGAATATTAAAAGTATTTATGACAATTGACTAAAATATATGGCACTATTTCTTATAGATATTACTTTTAGCTAGGGGCGTCCATGACCTAGTGGTTAAAGTCGTTGACTTCAAACCACTTGCCCCTTATCACCGAGGGTTCGAATCCCCGACAGGGACTTTGAATTATTTCATGCTAGGAAGCTATCCAGCTAGCTTACGGAACGTCTGTGGTTCTACTCAGGTACCCGTTCGGGAAGGAAGGACACCTGAGGTCTTCATCCACCAGTAAAGCGGGAACGTCACCATATGACATATACTGTGTCGGTGTGACGTAAAACCCAATAAAACAAACAAAACAAAACAAAACCTTAAGCTGATATTATAAATTTTATCAATTTCGGCACGGCAAAAATGAAGACCTCGGCAGGGCCTCGCCCTTCTTTTTTCCTTAGCCTTTCCTGATAAATTTTGTAATATCAGATTCTTGCATGGTATTCTCTATATAATTGTTATATTGTAAATAATGTAAAATAAATCAGAATGAAATAATATTGAAAAGGATTTATCAATTATTCCAATGTCATGGATAATTTAAGTTATAAGAATTCAAATAAAAAGGACATTCACGATTGAAATTTTGTTTAATCATTTATTTCCATACTTTATTGTATGGAGGATTGAATACTGCTTAACCCGGTGCTAGGGGCGCGAGAGATATTGCTAGTCCATTACCACACCTAAACAGACACAAGTTTACCGAGTCTGCAGTTTAAACTTTTAAACTTTGCTTGCATGGATCGCTTTATTCAGATTTCTTCCTCATTTATTAATTTCCAATGCATTTTCCCGTCAAGGTCCAATCAAACCGAGTCTGCAATTCTTATGTTATTTTGTTGTGATTAATGCTTCCGAGGGATTACTTTGTTTCCAGAATTTTGTACTTCAACACGTCCTTGTTTCTACATTGCCTTGTTTGGCGACCTACAGGATTTCGATTATAAATCATCAAATTAGTTATATTAATAAAATTATTTCATTAAAAAAGATTTAAATTGAACGAACAAAATAATGTTTTATTATTCATAGTTAAGCTAAATGTTGATATATATTAAGGTATCAATCATTCAATTATTTATTTTCATTTTATATTTTTCATTACAAAAAAGAGTATTGTAAGATTTTAATAGTTACAATGATTTATTACTTCTCAACCATATCTTTTTTGTGTATTTTATCAGTTCTGAAGAAATTTTCTTGTCGTAAAATATGATTTCTTTCGTTTAAAGAACGAATTAGAAGGTAATTATTTTCCCATAAGGTAAAGTTGTCACCGTGAGGATATTTAGTAAAGCGTGACAGTAGTGCACGATATTTTTGTGCAGTATTTCGGTCAGTGTAAGTTCATTTGTTATATTTTTTTCAAAAATTGAAAGTAAATGATTATGAATAAAGTATATTTCTTTCATTGATAGATTGTGAACAGATATGCATTTGTAAATTTGTAAAATGGCGTCAAAGTGTTTTCTTTAAAGGTGAAGACAAATATTATTATGTGATATAAAATATGATGAATATTGTAAGCCTTGTTGTACCACCAGTTACCCATGTGCTTCAGTTTCATATTACAATGGGGGACATTAGTGAATAACCTCCCCTGAGTACTCTCTATAAATAGATAGGTCCTAAGCAATTGGATTACTCGGACTTTATCGCCTATTTCTTTGTAGCAAACTGAATTAATAAGGGCTAATTATTATCATTTGTAATATTCAGATTAAATATTGCGATAAGATGTAGAATCTGTTGACATAAATGAAGCATTTTTTTCTTATTGTTTACATATTTGTTGATGCATGTGGAAATAATTTATTAAAACATATCAACCTGTCTTACATAAAACTCAACGATAAAAGCAAAGGATTCCAAATATTTGGACCTACTTACATTTTGGTTAACCTCGGTTTTTATCAAGGGAAGATAATCCACTATTGTCCCTCATTTGATATTGCAAGTTAGATTGAGTTGTGTTTTATTCATTTAAAGCAGCTGATCTCCATAAGCTAACAAAATAAAAACTACCGTTTTACAAACATTTTAAAATATATCTTTAAAAACATTATATAGTTGAAAGAAATCGAAGAAACACTTAAAAAATTCATACATAACGGGAAATACCTTTTTTTAATATATTACGTTATAAGTTTTTCATCCGTTTTTTTTTTCTATTTCCCCACGTTTTTGTAAAAGGGGAACAATATCAGGGACCTGTGGCCCGGGGAACACACGGAATCGGGGATGGGGAAACAAAAAACTTTTTTATTTTTAAATTTTTGGGATATTCAAAACCCGAACCTTTTAAATTTCAGAAAGCACAAAAAATTTGAATTATTTTTATGCTTTGCCTCTAACGAAATTTGGGAACAAACCCACGTTATAAAAACTGAAAGCGTTATTACCTCGGGTCCACGGTTGGACGTCGCCAAACGTCAAATATAATTATTGTGCTTAACCATTAAAGATAGACCAATGTATATAAAGAACAATATTTTAAGATTCCAAAAAAATAAAACGTAAAACTTTCAAGATTTATTTGATGTGAACAAATATTTTTGTTTATTTATTTTTGTTTGTTGTTTTGTTTAATGTATCACAAAATACATTCACCATTTGTAAAAAACGTGTAAAATTTCGCTCTTTATTAAAATGCATGAATGCGTTTCCCAAAAATATGATTAATTGTTTTACCATATAAAGGAACAAAAGTTTTGCATTATGTCTATCAACTTTTTGCAAGAACATTTTGCAATATAAAGCGATTATATTATAAGTTCAAGCCAGTGGCTTGCTAAGCAAAGTGCAGAACAGACCATAAAGATGAAGTTTGCCGTCTTTCTTTGCGTCCTAGCTTTGCTGGTCATTGCAGAAGGTAGGATTTTTCTTTCAAATTCTATTGAACCTTTTCTTTATTGTTAACAATACATCATTTTATTTATTTCAGAATTGAATACCACTCAAGCCGGTGCCAGTTGGCGTGAGGGATGTTGTACTTATTCATTATCTCTCATGTACATACTCAATCAAACCGAGTCTGCAATGTTCAAGAAATTTTGTTGTGATTAATGCTTCCGATGGATCACTTTGTTTTTAGATTTTTTTCGCTTTGAAATTTCAATATTAGCAATATCTGATTTTTCTAACGTTCATTTTTTTTCTAACAAAGTTTCATATGTTGGTTTTTCCATACAACGCTTCATTTATTTGACGTTCTAGATAACGTTTCCTGTATGCAATCTTGTTTTTAACAGACGACGATTTATAGTTAAGTTAAGTTATATGTTGTGAACTGCACTAGTAAATTAATTAATTGATGCAAAGGAAGCACGACTCCTTACGTGAAATGTTAAATTTGTTTGGTTTAGTTTATACTTATCTCTAGAGTCGATCTGACGCTAAATACTTGAAACCCCCTTCAAAAGCAATCACTCTATAAAATATGTAATTCTTTCGTAAAAAAATGTGTAAATATTTCAGGGCGCCGGAAAAAACATCACCATAAAAAATTCCCATGGTTTGCGGGATATCGTCCGGGCTACTACCGTTTTGGTTATAACAGGGGACTCCTAAGCAATGGATATCTAGGAGGTGGAGGTGGTGGCGGTGGCATTTACTCCTACGATCCCTATATCGGCGATATAGCAGGCGGTGGTGGACTTGCTGGTAGCGCTGGACTTGCAGGTGGTATTGGATTTTCAGGCGGCGATGGATTTGCTGGCGGCATTGGACTTTCAGGCGGCAATGGTTTTACGGGCGGCTTTGGATATTCAGGCGGCGCTGGACTTTCAGGTGGTGGTATGTCCTATAGTGGAGGAGATGATGGATTTGGAGGCGTTGATGGTGGTTACTCTGGATATTCCTTTGGTGGAGACATTGGTGGAATAGGTAGTGGTTTAGCTGGTGGAGCCGCCGGAGGTTTGATTGGTGGAGCCGGTGGTATTGGAGGTCGTAGTTACATGGGTAGAAGGACATTCACACATTGGCAGTACAACAGGTGCAAATGTCAGAAGAAATGTCCATGGAATAAGAGATACATCGGAAGATGTAACCTTTGCAAAAAATGCAAAAGACTTGTAATGTGTTGCATGTTTGCAAGACCCAAATGGGGTTCATGGAATGGATAAATATACTGACTAGGTAAGTCTACCTTTATTTATTTCTCTTTTATTTGTAAATTAATGTTCCATCTGCACCGTGACCTTTAAATTAGATATTAAGTCTAAGTAATAACATTAAGAGATATTCGATTAAAACAGCCTTCTGCTGCTTGTATTACATTTATTGTCCTAATTTGTTTAACAATTATGTACATTTTTGGACGTTTCATTGTGCTGAATTCACTGTTTTCATGATTTAACTTTCGTCATTCGAATCGTAAAAAATATGTATTTAAAATTGAAATAATGATCACAGCATTTTTTTACAGCTTTTTAATGTATCTTTACAACAAACCATATTTATTTGTAAATTTTATCAAAGTGCATTAAAAGACTATCAATTGATAGGTCCCCATTCTAACCTTTTTATTTGAATAACAATAGATTTAAGATTTTAACATTAATATGTGCTCTTTTTTAAACAAATATATTTAGGTGAAATTTTTATTGCATCCACTTATCTGATTATTAGAATAAGACAGGTCAGGGATCTATGTATCTACACAAGACTTTGTTTATTGATTTGGAAACATAATTATCTGGATAAAGTTGAATGTATCTAGACTCTACATTTAAGAAAAAAATATTAAAGTAAAGTGTTTCTTTTTGAAAAGCCATGTTTGCATTCTTTATCTTTGCAGTTGATATTCCACAACAAAGAATACGAAAACCCGACATGGAAACCCGACTTGAACTTGACATGTAAATAATTGCAAAACAATAAAAGCTTTACATTGCAAGTTAAATACGTCTTAAGGTTTTATATCATTCGTTCTCAATATCTAGCCTTATTTTTGACTTTTCAATTTCAAAGTTCCAAATCAAACCCATATTGTACTCGAAGTAAAGGTATGTTTGATATGCCAAAAAAATGTATATTTAATTTACTACAAAACACAGATGGTTTTGTGTGTCTTCTTCAAGTTAAAATGTTTTCCCTAAAGAAAGTGTTGTGTGGATTATTGTATTAATTAGACACATTTTACATACTGATGCTTATTTATGTGTGTTACAGGCAGGAAATAAGTGTACGTCGGATTGTTAGTAGAAGGTAAAAGAAAAGCAAAATAGTTCAAGCATCATAAACTTGCTAGAAAGGTGAGACTGGAAATGTATTTAGTCATGGTTAGAATGTTTAATAGTAAAAATAAAAGATAATGATTAAAAATTAAAAACACGGCAGCAAAACTTATGCAATCTTACCCTTCCCGTTGAGTTATTTTTAAATTGGGGGAGGGGGAAAAAAAAATAAGGGTTTATTCCTGATAATTTTTGAGGGGAAAAAGAGTACTTATGGGAGCCCGGGGGAAAACCCGTATTTTTTCGTAGGGATAGGGGGTGTATATGTATGGATAATCTATGTTGGGTTTGGGCATATGGTGGGAGATTAATTGCAATTAGGTTATGGTATATCTTATAAAATATGATGAGTCTACAGTCGAATCTGCGATGTTCAAGGGATCGCCAGTCCAGTTCTTCTTGCATGGCTGTGACGCTGGCGAGTGGGGAGAAATCCCTTTTTACTAATCGCGTGGCATGTCTTTGGATCATCTCAACTTTGTCAAAACTCAATATTGGTTTAAGTGTTGAACAAAATATTGTAGATATTAACCTAAAGGCAAAACAGGCTTGTTTTTAGTTGTTTTTTTTCTATTTTTTAAAACCTTCCCCAACCCAAAATTTGTCAATTTTTTTCCTTTGGGGGAATTTTAGTGGAAATTTTACCCTGCATGTTATTTTTTTATATTATTTTTATTGTACATCAGGGTTGGGGACTATTTGCCATAAAGCTGAAAAATTTTTGCTTCTTTTTATTTTTTGGGCCCTTATCAAATAAAGCAATTATTATCTTGTATCAATAACCTCTGTTCCTCTCAGAACAACACCTTTTGGAGAACATTACTTTGGTTGTTGCTTTGATGTGTTGCTCTAAAGACCGTAATGTAATTGAATAGCGATCAGGTCAAAGGCCACATAAAAGAAGTAAATTTATGTTTCCGGAAAATTTTAGGATTTTTTTTTTTTCAAAAAAAAAATAGTGTTAACGTTTAATTCTTTATTTATCAACTTTTGAAATATGTGCATTCGGAGAAACTTTGGAAGAAAATAACGATTTTAGAAAATAATATTTTTTGTGTCCCATAAATGTTTCTTTTTACCAGCAATTAGAAATTCGATGTTTGGTAGAGCCATGGATGGCATGTCTGTATGTTAAAAAATGAAATTTAAATATATAACGCGTGTTAACCATGCATGTGATGTTGGTACATGTATTATATTGAAAATTTAAAAGTCTTTTAAATTTTACAAAACTAGCCAATGATACATGAATACTTTAGTTGTATTGACCACAACTAGCCAATGATACACGAATACTTTAGTTTTATTGACCACCACTTGATTCCCCTTTTTCGTAGTAATAAAACATTGAAAGGTGTATCATTATTAGAGGAAGAATTAAACTAGTAAAAAATGATTATCAAAACTATAATATTATTATGATGTGTGACATAGATTAAGATGTAGAAAATTGGGCGAATGCTTAAATGTTAGACATAATATTTACCAACTGGAAGAATATAATCTTTTTATTTATTTATTTTTTATCTTATTTTTATTTATTTTTTTGAAAGTCCGATCGATAAAATAAGTAAATTTTGTGATAAAACTATAAATTCGCAGAGTAATCCTGTGAAACATGTAATATTTCTTTTATACGCAATGATAATTTAGAAACACCTAGATAATGTTGAAGTTTTACAGCCATTTTCAGCTATAAGTGTATATATATTATATGTTGCTCGAAGTGCACATGCTATAACTTTGTTAATTTGTTTCTTTGTATAGATGTTTTTGCGTGGGTCAAGGGTCTTAAAGCGAAATAAAGTATTGTATAAGGAGGTAACTGTTCTACAGAGGGACAATCTTCTGTGGCTAAGCTGTTCTACCTTTCGTGCCCTGATTTATATGTGTTTCTTTTCTTTGATTGAATAAAAACTTAATTATATGTACATATTATATATTAATTACTGCTCATTAAGCCCTCTGGTGTGTGGGGCAGCTCATTGCTGTTCCTGTAACCTTAGTTCTTTACAAGTGAGAGTTGTTAGGCATAAGCTAGACCTTCTACGTGAAGGGTGGGATTTTCCATCCCTTAGATGATTGCTTCTGCTAACGAGTTCCATCTACCCGGATTTTTTGTCTGGATTTACTTCTATAGCCTTTGACTCAATTGTCTTATCACATGTAAATGACATATGAATAGAAATATTTCATTTTTTATAGAAAAGGTAATGTTTTTATTCCCTACTGATTCGTAAAAATAACACTAAAAGAATGTATACTGTATACATTAGATAAACATTTGTTCCAAGTTTAAAGAAAATCATTCAAAGGATAAGGGATATATTATGCGGACACGAAATCGTTTAAATATTTAACTTTGGCCTCCAGGAGTTACCTTTACATTGAACCGACATAGCCGTGACTTGGGTTCTGCACATTGCCTTGTTGAAACGAACATTTTTTGCCAAGTTTGAAAAGAAATCCTCTAAAGAATATGGGATATGTAGAGCAGCACGAAATATAAGATGTAACAATGCACTATTTATATAGAGACAAAATCTATACAATATATCTAGACAATATACATGCATTTACTTTCAGTAAGACAAGAGATAAGTACTGTATTCAAAGAGCCGAATAAAACCATTTATAACACGCCTTTATGTTTACACAAGTTTTTGTTGTTGTTAATTTTTCTTTTAAATATAAAAATGCATTCATTTGCTAGAAATGATTATTAAGTATTTTGTGAGAGAAAAAATAAAATACTTTTGGTCATTAAAATAAAGCATCACATACCTATGCATACCTTATTCGAAAAAACGGTGTGACATGGTCGTGATTATATCATGCTGATAATGATTATCAACAACACAGGGATGCTAACATAAATTTCAAAGTGGTTGCAATTCATAAAGTGAAAATTGCAAGTATATAAAGATGTATGATAAACAAGATCAACAAGGAAAGGTGGCGTTCAACGAACGCAACCCCCCCTTCGACCCAGCAACAAGAACCTGTGGCAAGGAGCCCAGGCAGACCCCAAACAAAAAAAGGACAGGGCACAAGACAGAGCACGGACAGGTTAATCATTAAAATGATAAATAATTTGTAACTGATAAGGAATTCAAAGAAAAAAAAAAAAAAGATTGAAGAATAGGAAATAATTTGTAACTGATTAGGAATACAAAGAAAACAAAAAAAGGATTTAATAATAAAATATGATAACAAAAGGTGAAATATAGAACCAGAATTTTCAACATAGCAAGAAAAGAAAAAACGTGCATAATTTCCATACTGCCATCTATCCATATATCAAGTTTCATAGAAATATTTTCAGTTGTTTTTGCGTTATATCGAGGGATCCAGTTTTGTGGACGGACGGACTGACTTACGGACTGACAGACGGACGGACGTTCTCACAGGACAGTAATTATGTGGCTACTCTATTGTTCTTTCTATTGTTCTTTTTAGCCACACAAACGAAAATAGCCACATTCGAAGCATTACGGAATGAATAACATCAAAGAGAAAGAACAGTTACCTATTGTCCCTCTAGCCACATAATTACTGTCCTGTGAGTGCGGACGGACGGACGGACTGACGGACGGTAAACCTAAAGCCCCCTCCGGTAAACCGATAGGGGACTAATAAAAAAAACAATAAAAAACGAAATAAATGATAATTTTCAATTATGTTTCATTTTTTTTTATTTTTATTTTTTTTGAAATGATAATGATGATGACTGACGATTCTGATGAATACTGAACGATGATTGTATATCATACTGTAGCTGTATTATTAAAAGGAAAATTTTAAAAAATCACATGCTTCTTTACCTTCAGTCTATGAGCACCTGTGTTAGAGGCTGTGATAAGAAGTTGCTGAGAAAACTATTACGAAAATTTCCTACCATTAACCAGTAATTTCAAAAATTTAACTAAATCGGTAAAGAGGAAGCGGATGAGAAACAGACCTGAAATCGAATCCTACGGTATGGGACCATTTGTCAATGCTGTATGCCAAATATCAAGAGGCTGTAATAAGTAGTTGCTGAGAAAACTGTTACGAATATTTCCTTCTATTGAACATTAATGTTAAACAATTATCTAAGTCGCTTAAATGGAAGTGGAAGAGCAACAGACCTGAAATCGAATCCCACGGTATGGGACCGTTTGTCAATGCTGTATGCCAAATATCAAGATGCTGTAATAAGTAGTTGCTGAGAAAATTGTTACGAAAATTTCCTTCCATTGAACATTAATGTTGAAAAATTATCTGAGTCGCTTAACAGGAAGTGGATAAGCAACAGACCTGGAATCAAATCCCACGGGTATGGGACTATGGGTCAAATATCAAGAGGCTGTGATAAGTAGTTGCTGAGAAAACTGTTAAGAAGAAAATGTTTCTCCGCCCGTCCGCCCGCCCCCCATCATTCACCATACTATAATCTGGGTTTGCACCTGTTAAACCCGGCCAAAATGCTGATACAGGACTTCCTTTTTTAAAATTCTCATATTTTGAAGCTTCTTAACGACATACGACAATAACAAGGCTCCCTCACGTTCTGTCCAATTTTAAGGCAATATGTTTGAAATTTTACGGCTAAAATAAGCAATTGTAGGGTATAAAATAGAATGTTTAGGTCTAAGATTTTGAATTATATTACAAACCTATGGCC